GGTGGGGTGTGGGTGTGGGTGTGGGTGTGGGTGTGGGTGTGGGGTGTGGGGTGTGGCTGGGTGTGGGTGTATTTCCTCCGATCATGCATAATCAGACCCATACGCACAGTCACACCCACACCCACACCCGCACCCGCACCCGCACCCGCACACCCAAACCCCACATCCCAAACCCCACATCCCACACCCACATCCACACCCAAATTCGAGTCGTCGATCCGGATCATCCTGATTTAAGGCTTGTAACAATCTTGACTTGTATGGTTTTAAATTTAGAGCCTTCATAAGGCGTTGTAAGTTTGTGCGTGAGATACCAAGCTCGAGTGACGCTAGTCTTTGAGATATTTATGGATTTTGAGCAAAAGTTTTAGAAACCAGCTGGGTATTTTCTTCTATCCTGACTGTTGCTGGTCTGCCAGTTTGTGGTGCATCTTCGACAGAACCTGTCTCATCAAACGTTTTTGCTAATCGAGAAATTGCGAGACGACTTGAGATTTCTTCGTCAGGAAATTCATTTCGAAAAGTGGCATTTACTGTTCGTACTGTTGTTCCTGACATCCACCACGGTTTGAGGACAAAAATCCTTTGTTCTTTTGTAGGAATTCGTGGCATCTACAAATGCATGAGCTCGAAGTAAGAGTTGCGCACTGCATATACGATAGAAAATGTCCAATAAAGAAGAACAAGTCTTACCGAAAATGCACAAAACACACGTAAATACAGGCGATAGATGAATCTGACCGGCAATATCGAAATAAAATTATATTGTGTGAAGTGTCAGTGTAGATTGTAGTAGAACAGAAAGAGAAAAACACCAAAAGAAAGTATATACGAATATCTTGAGGGTGGATGTAGGATGTGGGTGTAGGTTTGGGGTGTGGATGTGGGTTTGGATTAAGAAAAAAGCAACAATCACGCCCACACCCACACCCTACAGCAGGATGTGAGTGTGAGTTAAAATCTTCTATTCTCTCACACCCTCATCCTCACACACCCACATCCCAAACGAGACTGTCTCAGTTATTTTGAGTGAAAGAAACTAAAGAATGGTAAGCGATATTATGATAAAAAGTGAAAAATATTATTGTGTATTCAAGCAGTCAAGAGTGCGAATCTCTTTTGCTGGTAGATATGTCTTTTGAGGTAGTAAAATATATCGTCCAATTGAGATGTCAGTACTATCATTTCTAATAATCACCATTAATGAAAATACGTTACGTACTGAACGTTTGGTCTTCAATATGCTCAGAAGTGATTGGCTTTTTTGTTTCATTTGGAACGTCTATTTTAGTGGCACCAATATCGTTGATAGCTGATTTGTTGCCAGGGGAACGATTTTCTGAGTCACTGTGTTCTCAAGGACGCGGCCGTTCCATCACTTCGGGTGCAGTGTAACGATTGCCACGTGTACATGGTGATCTCAGTATTTGTTGCGGCGTTGTACCAAATCGGCGCAGAGAACGTCGGACTCTCCAACTAGTTGATTGTCCATAAAAAGAAAGCCTAGTCAGTCGTCTTGCCATTACCACCCGTGTCTATGTCAAAGTTTACAACTTCTGCAGTTCAAGAAAAGACATAATGTTGAAAGAACATTCTATTATATAAAAATGAACGACATTTATTGATAAATGTCGTTCATAGCGAGATAAATGACCTGCTTCGACCTAACTCAATTACATATGTCGGACATCTTACGAAACTGCTTTTTTATGTAAGAACGCAGTCTGTAGTAATTTTCTCTACTATTTAGATATCTACAAAACCATTAATAATATCCCCATCCTAAAAAATATAGTCACTTAAAATTTTCCAACTTGAAAAAAAAATCAGAAATGCTTTACTGCACAATCATATAGTGAGTCATTATTTTGTTGTGATTTCAATCACGTCATCTACAGGTCTCTCAAAAATAACCTGCCAAAAGTTTTATTGCATATATTTCCTATTTCATTTAACTTTATCAATATTTCTTTTTAAAAATTACAATTGAGTATACCGACCCAGGCGAGCAAAGGACGGGTAAAAAGACTAGTCTCATATCTAGTCCTGACGGGGCGTCCTGTATAGTCTTTTTCTCAAATCGGACTATACCATGACTAGTCTGGAAAAAGTTGTCGTCCATAATACCCGTCCAGACTATGTTACTGATGGGCGTCATTGGCTCTGACATGTCTAGTCTGTTTCACTAAAAAGACCCGTCTAGGACTAGTAAGAATCACTAATAGGTGGACTAGTCCTGTAGGAGGACTTTTTGAGAAAAAGATTAGTCAGGACGGGTAACAGCGACACCACATAGAACAAGTTGTAGTCTTGTGTAGTGGACGAGTTCGGACTAGTCTAAATGAAAATGTGTAAAGATGAAAGTTAGATTCGAACATGCATACAATGTGTTACTTACCCATCGTTTAGACCATTGAGTCATATGATCAGCAGATCAACTCTACACATACATAATCATTCTAAGATGCTATTTAATATAATTTTATTCCACGTTTTTTATGTTCGCATTTAAATAAAAAATTATCGTTTACAAAATAGGTCATTAATTAAACAACACTAGATAAAACAAAGTCAAAAAAATTTATATTTTTTGGATAAATATTTTTTATTACTATTAAGTAGGAATAATTAGTTATGTTAAAAAAATTAATTTTAAATGCAAAAATAAAAAACAATTTATATTGAAAAGAAACTCGATTTTTCATATCATGATTTAGTTTACCTGAAAATTTAAATCATCATGTCTTCAACTAAGTATTAAATTAATTTTGTTTCAATTAAATCTACTTTTAAATTTAAAAATTTATTAGAACTGATATTTAAAGCAGCAATTATGGTACAAAAAGATTTCAATTATTTTTTAGCTCTTTTTTTAAATTTGGTACATCTAATAATTTTAAAAAATATAAGTTAGCACTCCTTTTTGCTTGATAACTACTATTCTTTATAGTTACTTCCACTTTTTAATGTTTTGATATGCTCTTATATATTTTCAATATATGAAAATACAAAATATAATAAGATATATCAAGACAGATAGGAATGCACAAAGTATACTATCTATCTTTGATTTCACTATTGGCTATGACAGACTTTCTGATTGTCGTTCTAGAAAGAGAAAAAAACTAATAATACTAGTGACAATCGACATAATTTTAATACAAAATAACAATGCATGTTATTAATCTCCATAATCATAATACAATAGATCATGCGTAGTTATCAATTTACGAAAATCTGAGTACAC